TTGGTGAAAGTTTTATTTGTTTAGATTTTTATTTATATATTCATCTTCACTGATCATGATCCATATGATTGTGTGAGTAATCAATTACGTTCTTCGGGACATGGGATAAACCTTGTTGATATTAATCTTGTGAGGTGGAATCTAGTGCAATGTCTTGACATTGTGTTGTGACGTAATTCTCTAGTGGTGATATGCGAATGTCGACTGCATATCACTTCACCTTTATGGCCCTAGAGGATACAATTTGTTGATTATTTTGTTCATGTGGGTGGTTGGAGTGGCAAAAATTACCAAACCCTAAGTTTATGAACTATTACACGAGGGACACTGGAACCAAAAAGTTCATGGCTATGTTTAGATGTTATCTTAATTGTTGACACGTCTCCAATGTATCTATAATTTTTGATTGTTCCATGTTATTATAGTATCATTCTTGGGTGTTTTATATGCATTTATATGCTATTTTATATCATTTTTGGGACTAACCTATTAACATAGTGCCCGGTGTCAGTTGCTATTTTTTCTTGTTTTTGTCTTTCAGAAAATCAATATCAAACAGAGTTCAAACACGATAAAACTATACGGTGATCTGTTGTGAACCAGAAGGGACCCATGAAAATTCGGGAGAAGATCAGAAGAGTCACAAGGGAGCAACAAGCTCAGAGGGCACGCCCCATGGGGGGCGCCCTGAGCTTATGGGCCCCTCGTGGCACCTCCTGAACTAATTCCACCTCTATAAATTCCCAAATATTTCCAATATACCAAAGATCCACCCAAAACACTTTCCCACCGCAACAAACTTATGTTCTTCCACGATCCCATCTGGAGGCCTTTTCCAGTACTCTGCCGGAGGGGCAATCGATTACGAAGGGCTTCTACATCATCGTTGCTGCCCTTCCAATGATGTGTGAGTAGTTTACCATAGAGCTACGGGTCTGTAGCTAGTAGCTAGATGTCTTCTTCTCTCTCTTTGATCTTCAATACAATGTTCTCCTCGATGTTCTTGGAGTTTTATCCGATGTAATATTCTTTTGTGGTGTGTTTGTTGGGATCCGATGAATTGTGAATTTATGATCTGAATATTTATGATTATTAATCGAGTCTTCTCTGAACTCTTTTATGCATGATTGTTATAGCTTTGTATTTCTCTCTGATCTATCCGTCTGGTTTGACCAACTAGATTGATTTATCCTGCAATGGGAGAGATGCGTTGTAATGGGTTCAATCTTGCGGTGCTTATCCCAGTGACAAAGTTGGGGATAAGATACGTATTTGTATTATTGCCATTAAGGGTAAAATGACGAGGTTTATTCATATTAATTGGATTTGTTTTGTCTAAATCATGTCATCTTGCTTAAGGTGTTACTCTGTTTTATACTTAATACCCTAGATGAATGCTGGATAGCGGTCGCCGGGTGGAGTAATAGTAGTAGATGCAGGCAGCGGTCGGTTTACTTGTCTCGGACGTGATGCCTATATACATGATCATTGCCTTGAATATCGTCATAACTATGCGCTTTTCTATCAATATCCCAACAGTAATTTGTTCACCCAACGTATGCTCTGTGCTCAAGAGAGAAGTCTCTAGTCAAAATTATGCCCCCGGGTCTACTTTTATCATATATAAAAATACAAAAATACCTTAATGCAATTTTATTTCTTTTCTTTTGTTTTGCAATTTATTTTATTACCTATCACTATAAGATTTAATCCTTACAAGTAAACGCCGAGGGGATTGATAACCCCTTGTTCATATTGGGTGCAAGTATTTGCTCTTGTGTGTGCATGTGCTATTCACGAGGCTTTGTGTGATTCTCCTACTGGATTGACAACCCTGGTTCTAACTGAGCGAAATACTTACCTCTACTATACTGCATCATCCTCTCCTCTTCGAGAAAATCCCAACGCAACTCACAAGTAGCGGGAAGATTTTCTGGAGCCGTTAAAGGGGAGACATCATCAAAACCTATCAAGTACCTTGCCACAAACTATCATCTACTTGCTCTTATTTTTATTTGCATTTGCCTCTCATTTTCATCTCCCCCACTTCTATTTTTTTTACAAAAACACAAAAATAGTTTTATTTTCTCCTTTGCTTGCTTTGTCGCCATGTTGTAAGAAAACACTAAATTGTGTGATTTTTTAAATAATAGTAATAATAATTTTATTAGTACTCCAATTGCTCCTCCCGCCACTATTACGGAATCATGTGATATTAATGCAACTTTGCTCAGTCTTGTTATGAAAAAATAATTTTCTGGTAGTCCTAATGAATATACTACATCCTATCTTAATACTTTCGTTGAATTATGGGATGTGGATAATGATAAAACTTGGTCTTCATCATTGCCTCAAAATAGTATTGATTCTTGGGATAAGTCTAAGGATGATTTTATTGCCAAGTATTTTCCTCCCGCAAAAATTATTTCTCTAAGAAATCAAATTATAAAGTTTAAGCAACTTGAGCATGAACATGTTGCATAATCTTGAAAGAGAATGAAATTAATGATAAAAATTTATCCGACTCATGGTTTAAGTTTATAGATGATTATATAAAAAATTATGCTGGGCTAAACTTTGTTTCTAGAAACATTGTAGGCTCTGCTGCAGGTGGAACCTTTATGGAAATCACATTAGGAAAAGCTACAAAACTTCTTGATAATATTATGGTAAATTACTCCCAGTGACATACCAAGGGAGCTCTAACTGGTAAGAAGGTAAATTCTGTCGAAGAAATTCCGATGGCTATGAATATCCTGTGAATTCAGGTGTTGCATTCTTTGACTGGAACAGTTGGGCTGGACAAGCCTGTGATCTGGGAGGACATTTACACGAAGCAAGATGATGATAGTCTATAAATTCAGGTGTTACATTCTTTGGCTGGACATGCCCGTCGTCTATTATTTGAACAAGCAGGAACAACAAGTGAATAATGACAATATGCTATATTTTTATCCAGCTATCAGTCAAAAGGAAAGAAGGATTAGGTTTTGAACTGGCTTATGTAACCATGAGTATATTCTCATTATTTACTTATTATTCCGGTTGTAAGTTGTATGATTGATGGCTGCTAGTGAAATAATCTGTATGATAAATTTGTATGGTGCAAAGTTGTATGATTGATGGCCGCTTATTATGAACTTTTATGTGGTACATAGTGGCTATTGTATCATCGGTTTCATATCTTGAGATTAGTCCTTCTATTTGTAGTTGACCCCTTTTGTAACTTAGGAAACTTTGCAACCTTTTAAATTGTAATATTTGGTGCTTTACGATATTCTTAAATAATTTTTGTGCTCATATTTAACGAGAAACTGTTCGAAACAATAAAGTGTTAGCAATTCAGCAAACATTTCAGTCTAAGTACATTGCAAACATTACAACATACACCTTATACCACAATAACCTCATACTAATCGCAAAAAGGAACTGAACGCAAATTCTATAGGCAGCAATTCGATGGTCAATTTTCCAGAATCTTGATTCTCAAGAATCCCAGGCGAAAGAACTGGCCCTTAGAGAGGTAGATGTTTTCTTGAATAGCATGGGGAAAGTCAACCATGCAAGCGCGTGAGCGGTCGATTCGGTGTCGCTGTACATTGTTTTGCCTTTTATGAAAATCTTGATCGATGTACATTGTTGTCCTAAGTACTAGCAACAATTTTTTTCAAGAGAGTCTAACAGCAGTTGGGACAATGCATGCCATGTGCGCCAATGAATGTTTTTTTTCCTGAGATATGTTTTCTTGAATAGCATGGGGAAGGTCAACCACGCAAGCGCGTGAGCGGTTGAATCGGTGTCGATGTACATTGTTTTGCCTTTTATGAAAATCTTGATCGATGTACATTGTTGTCCTAAGTACTAGCAACAGTTTTTTTCAAGGGAGTTTAACAGCAGTTGGGACAATGCATGCCATGTGTGCCAATGAATGTTTTTTTTTTCCTGAAATAGAGGCAAAATTTGCCTCATTGATTAAATGAGAGGAGAATAGAGTTACAGAGTGTTATAAAAGGCCGAGAAAACGACATGACAATTACTCGTGTAATACAATTTTTTTAAATTTCTTGGCCTCCGTTGTAACCCAAATGTTAGCCTCATCCGCAATAAGCTTTAGGATGATTGGTGAGGGTGCGCCCACGAATATGGGTGCAACAGCAGCAGCTTTTTATGTGGCCGGAGCAAAATGTCATCCCTCGCGTCCTCGGATGATTCGGCGAAAATGAGATCTGCACACGATGGCGGACAATCCAGCGAAAGCGAGCCCCCCACAGAACCTGCTCTGTAAACACCATATCGCTGACCGCTTTCTGCTAGTGATGCGTGCCGAGCAGAGGTCGCCACCACACTCAGATTTCCATCCCCAGCCATGTTGGTCTCGCACCAGCGAGAGTGAGGACGAGCTCAGTTGGCTCCTCTATCACCAACGCACTGTTTGTTGGTTAGCAAACTCCGCACAGAAGATTAGAATTATCATTTCAGACGATTGTAAGGCCTTGGTTGATTAAATGAAATGCATTTCCCCCGAAAAAAGAAAGAAAGATCGGAAGCATCAAGCCGTATCACCGCAAGATGCTCAACATCCACCACGTATATTTCCGCACAAGCTGTGCACCGCATGCACCGTCATGCTCACGCCTCAGATTTCTTCGCTCTCCGTAAATATCTAGATTAACTGGTGCAGGACAGACGGCACCGTCATGATCTGACCCAACAATTAAATGCCAGTCGCAATCGCAGTCAGTTTCCACTTGTTAATTGTTGTTACGTTAGCAACAACGACGACATGGCATCACTGCTGCATGCAACCCAGAAAGAAAAGAAGGCGTCTCGTACGTATCGATCCCCACCATTCGCTCGCGCGTATCAGAAAACGCCTATCTACAGCTAGACAACACTCGTGTTCTCCGTTCAACTTAGTAACCTCTTTGTACATAGAGATAAGACCAGGCCTTGCAGTCACAGACAAATCCATCAGCTCGTCACTCGATCGGGCCCCCGCCATGGAGCAATGGGCGTACTACCTTTGCCTCTTCCTGGCTCTCCTCCTCCCTCTCCTGCTGCTCAAGCTCAACAGCAAGCGTGGCGGCGTGCGTCTGCCACCCGGTCCGTGGCGGCTGCCGGTCATCGGCAGCCTGCACCACCTTGCCGGCAACCCGCTCGTGCACCGTGTCATGGCCGATCTGGCGCGCCGGCTGGACGCGCCGCTCATGTACCTCAAGCTCGGCGAGGTGCCGGTGGTGGTGGCCACATCCCCGGAGGCCGCCCGCGAGATCATGCGGACGCACGACGTCGTCTTCGCGACGCGTCCGTGGAGCCCCACCGTCAAGATCATGAACGCCGACGGGCAAGGCCTGATATTCGCGCGCTACGGCGTGCTGTGGCGCCAGCTCCGCAAGATCTGCATCCTGGAGCTGCTCAGCGCGCGCCGCGTGCAGTCGTTCCGCCACATCAGGGAGGACGAGGTCGCCCGCCTCGTGGCCGCGGTTGCCGCAGTGTCGCCCGGGGAGCCCGTGAACGTGAGCGAGCGGATCGCGGTGCTTATCACCGACTCAGCGGTGCGTGCCATGATCGGGGACAGGTTCAAGAGGCGGGAGGAGTTCTTGCAGACACTCGACGAAGGGGTCAAGCTCGTCGCCGGGTTCAACCTCGGCGACCTGTTCCCGTCGTCGCGCCTCGCCAGCTTCATCAGCGGCACGGCGCGGCTGGCCGAGGAGAACCACCGCAAGAGCTTTGAGCTCATGGAGTACGCGATCCAGCAGCACAAGCAGCAGAGGTCCGCTGCCTCATCGAACGGTGACGTGGAGGAAGGAGGAGAGGACCTAGTGGACACGCTCTTGAGGATACGCAAGGAAGGAGGCCTCGACGTGCCTCTTACCATGGGCATGATCAAAGCAGTTATACTGGTAAGTGCACAGATCCTTTGTTTCACGATACTTTGTCCTCTACTAGTAGCAAAAGGGTCTCTCTGTTGCAACAGGAGAAAAAAAAAATCATAATCATCAATAGCCATGATCACATTCTCAATTTCGTGAAATCATGAATATTTTTTAACTCGTGAACATATTTAAAATCATGACTATTTTTTAAATTTATGAACAATTTTATAATTTTTGAACATTTTTTAATATCAAGAACATGTTTTGAATTCATGAACTTTTATACTATTTGCAAACATTTTTTTAAGATTGTGAATTTTTTCAACAATTTTTTTTAGTCGGCAAACATTTCTAGAATGGACGAACATTGTTTGAGAAATTGGTGGAACCATTTTTTAAATTCATGAACATTTTTTTGATTTAACGAACATTTTTTGAAATGCATGATCATTTTCTGAACCAACGAACATTTTATGAATGAATAAATTATTTTATAAGATAGGAACAGTTTTTATTTTTTTAGGATATTTTTTCATTCATGAATATTTTTTGAATTGGCGACTTTTTTAATTTCATTAACATTTTTTAATACACAAACTTTTTAAAAAATCATGAAGATTTTTTGATTTCCCGAACATTTGTTTTTGAACATTTTCTGAATAAGCAAACATTTTTTTATAAAATCGTGAATATTTTTTGATCCACAAACATTTTATGATTTATAAAACATTTTATTTCAAAATTATCATTTTTATAAATTTTTGAAACTTTTCTGAAGCCCCAAATTATTTAAAGTAGAAAAAAACAAAAATAAAAATTAAAAAACAGGCCGCCCAGACATGGGCTAGCCCAAATGGGCGCGCTGCATCTTCTTCCAACACACAGAGCGCAGTATAGGAGGTCCCTACTGCCTGGGCCGGCCCAGGTGGCTGATTCCCCTATGTGAAATGGTTTTTTTATCACTTATAGATAGCATTGGTGGGTAATATTTGCAACTTCAAGGGGAATTTCCGTGATGTACCGCTTGAAGCAATAGCCTCTTTATTATTAGGTATAGATGATGTTATGCTTCGAAGTAACATTTTATACTACTAAACAAAACTAATTGTAGCATGTTTTTTGTGTTTTTCCTTTGGTTCACTCTGAATCCAAGAATTGCTATATGTTATATTCCTTATTATTCTAGGATTTGCAGCCGGATGGCTCGCTGACATATGGCTGACAATCCTAAACTGCCAAGAACAACAAGCGATTCCTAAATTATATAAATCGTCATATTGCAGGATCTATTTGGTGCCGGGAGCGAGACGTCAGCTACCACACTTCAATGGGCCATGTCGGAGCTCATGAGGCACCCAAACGTGATGCACAAAGCACAAGCTGAAGTACGCAACAACCTCCAAGGAAAACATAAGGTGACCGAGGATGACTTGGCCAATCTCAAGTACCTCAGACTCGTCATCAAGGAGACCATGAGGTTGCATCCAGCCGCGCCACTGCTTCTCCCTAGAGAGGCCATGGAGCCTTGCAAAATTCTCGGGTACGACATACCCAAGGGCACCACAGTACTGGTAAATGCATGGGCGATCGGCCGGGACCCTAAGCATTGGGATGATCCTGAGGAGTTCAAGCCGGAGAGGTTCGAGTCTGGAATGGTCGACTTGAAAGGCACAAACTTTGAGTACATACCATTCGGGGCAGGCAGGAGAATGTGCCCTGGAATGACATTTGCGCAGGCCAGCATGGAGATTGTGCTTGCCTCACTTCTCTACCACTTTAATTGGGAGCTCCCAAGTGGGGTCAAGCCAGATGGGCTAGACATGACCGAGGAGATGGGCCTCACCGTCCGGCGAAAGAACGACTTGTATCTGCACGTCGTGGTCCATGTGCCCTTGATTTGATTTACACTTGCATTGGTATGTCATATGTGACTGAATTCTCGCATATTAGTCTCTTCTATGTGCCTTGGTCAAATTGTCAGTGTACTTGTGTGATTGCTAGACTGCCTTGTCAGGTGACTGCCAGAGATACGTTGTCCATTAATTTGGGGTCCTCAAACTTCTCCGGTCCTCAAACTTGGATGTTCATCTTAGAACAACGATCAACGAATTAATTTTATGTGATGCACTGAGATCTTGACCATCTGTTTACCAGATTTGATTACCCAAGCTATTCATCCAAACATGATTTTAGAGCCGAAAAATTATATTGGGGACCATTCATTCTTTTAGCCGTGTCCAACAAGTGGTTTACTCTTCAACCAAGAAAAAATGAGTGAAAAAAGAGCACAGTTTAGTTGATTTTAAGTTGAAGGCCACCCCCACCCCCCAAAGGAAACCCAACTAATAAATGGAAAACACAAGTTCACCCGCAAAATAAAAAAAAAATGGAAAACACAAGTAGCCATTGGTCTCATCCAATACTGCTAATTAGCAATTCCATTAATTTCAATTACTAAAAAGATTAGTCTGCTCGGTGGTCCGACGTCTTGCGAGCATCTTTGGACCGTTGCCACCCAAAACCCATCCCGCCTCTCCCGCGATTTTCCATCCAATGCACGTGTCGCTTCCTGCGCCGCATTCATACCGGTCCAGAGCACGTTGCGGTCAACATTGATGTCGTGTGACGTGACTGAACGGGAGGGCGGCACTGACCGACGCGGCCTCTCAGGTGTCACCTCTTTAATACGGATGCCGCACCCCAAGAAATCAACATTGGTCGATGTGCCGTTGTGAAGCGGGCTGACCGTCCGTTCGCATGGCCTGGCCGCGGCTATATATGTCGTGCTCCGGTGATGCACGTTCACACCTCCGGATCTCCTCCTCATCACCTACGAGTCCCTTCTCCTCTCCAAGTTCTTCCTCCTCCGACGATGACGAAGTACTTGTAATCCGCACCGCAGGCTGTAGCGGCGCAAGTGGACATTCGTCAGGCTCTTCGCGCCGCCACCCTTGCTCCTGGGCTCTCGGGCTCCACGGCGGTCGTCTGCTCCGGCAACGAGGAGGACCTGGGATATGGACGCCCTTTTCTTCAATTTAGGAAGCCGGTTTGTTGATGGACAACGTTAGTTGGTTATCCCACATACAATGCTTTTGGCAGGGATATGGACACCCTTTGCTTTTGTGGTCATGTTATAGTTACCAACATGAGACAACATGTCAACTGTATGTTACCCTGTTGTCCGTTCGATAGTTAGCAACATGAGACAACTAAAATTACTAGCTGCTCATGCTACACATTTTTAGTGTGTTAAATGACAAACACCATTATAGTAGCCATGTACTCCCTTCGTCCCACAATATAAGATTTTTTTGCAAGCTAATATAGCTTACAAAAACATCTTATATTGTGGGACGGAGGGAGTAGTTACATGGGTAGTTGCGGTGAGTTCTAGTTTTAAAATTGTTTTCTCGTCCCATGGAAATTGTTTTCTCCTTCATACCACATGTTTTCTCTGACCTAGTGTCTCCTCATCGCAAGTGATAGATCTATCCTCCTACCACTGCCACAATGCATGCCATAAGGTGATAAGGAGATAGAAAAATCCTTGCAGTGCCGTCGATTTGTCGTGCTAGCTAAGGCCACTATACTTCCATCACTTTGTGGATCGTACCGTGGTCCGCTAGCTGGTGCCAACATAATACACTACTCGGAACCTGTCAATGTATTTTTACTGTTTGGTCACTCAAGTCTGAAGTAATATGATCTATACACAAAAATGTTACCACCAACTTTGAGTGGATTATACAATCTATTAGTCTAACTATGTAATACACATTTTTTACGAGGTAACTATGTAGTACACTTGCGAATATAGGACACTGGTTTATCAAACTGGTTGATGCGTTTGGTTATTTACTCTCCATATTAGCTTTGTCTTAAAGTCAAACTTCATAATCTTTGACCAAGTTGGTACAAACAAATATAAACGTATACACCACCAAATCAGTATTATTAGATCTCATCACTGAATATATTTTGACATCATATAGATTTGTTATTGTACATGTTCATATTGTTTTCTATAAACGTTATCAAACTTTATGAAGTTTGACCTCAGTCAAAGCTAATAAGTCAAATATTTATTATTTCTATCTCTATAATATCAATTCATGCCATGTAAATAGAAATTTGCGAGGGAGGGATAATTTTGGCTCTAGGAGGCATATGCCCTGAATGAACAGTAAGTTTAGAATAACTAGATGATACACCGCGCGTTGCGGGGGGGCTTCTTAGAGAATGGACTCTTGGTATTTTGGTTCATAAGTAGTCCATGAAGATCGTGGATGAGTGAGCGGAGGCTACAAGATCTCCTGCTCAAACCGAGGCAAAATGGTGAGTTAGCAACTTAGCATGTGGTTAGACAATTTGATGGAAACTTTTAAACATGAAATATATATTATTATTGCCACACAAAGGTAGGAAAATAATCTGCAGTTCTGCAAGGAAGATTTCTTATAGTTTTCAGTCAAAATTAAAATTATGAAAATCCAATTTCCATGTACCATAACAATCTATTTTTTGTTGTTCTATATAGGAAATCAGATAGCAAGAATTGCCAACAGTTCAGAAAACGAACCGATAAACATTAATTTTCCATAAGATCTGGAAAGGATATGGTTCTACAATCAGGAAATAATAGAACAAAAGATCCAACATCCCAGTGCCTAAAACAAAGTAAAGTGCAGAGAAAAGAAGAGAGTTAGTTTGCCGCCTAAATGTAACAGAGCAGTGCTGCCTAAAACAATCCTATAAACATCCATCCTTGGATGACAAATAATACAAACATTCATCCATGGCATGGAAAATAAAAATAAGAAAATCATGTGGGATTACCTCACAGCTCACGCTGCAGTAGAAGATAGTAGAGGAAGATTAGGACTTGTCAGCCATGGAGCAATCATGAACAACCTGCTACGTGATACAAATGCCGTGAGGGAGGAGCAGCAAGCGATGGAGATAGAGTGCATAAAGAAAATTAACGGCAGGTAATAGGATGTTAATAGGGGATTAACACAACGTGCTAGATACCTTCTCGTGGGACTTGTTCATGACGCATCAGGCAACAGAGGCATGGTTCTTTATGGTGCAGATGCTGGAGATGATGCCACTACACCGGCCGTTGAGCGAAAACCTTCGGTGACAGTAGGACATGCGGTCGACGGCAGGGGTCTGCAAATTCGTCGCCTTCAGGTAAGGCAGCGGTATCTGGAGGCGCTTGGATGCAGAGGCCGGGTGTAATCCTTTTTTTCTAAAAAAAATCTGGAGGCGCTTGGAACATAATGATAGAACAGCTCGGGGAAGGGAGGGAGATTGTGAGACGATGATGAGGGCGTCTCTCTAGCCCACCGGCAGTCTGTCGGAAGCCAACACCTCTACTTCTGCCATGTTTTTTGTTCTCCCAAGATCTGAAGTCTGAACAACCAGATCCTCCAAATCCATTAGCTGAAGTGACTCATTATTTAAAGGCTTCATGTACCTATTTGTAGCATCCCTAGAAGTAGAACCCGAATCTTGCTTTTCCTTCTTCGATTTGGAACTCTAGTGGTAGATGTAGATGGAAACATTGAAGGAGAGGTGGTTGGGTGTTCCATGGCCTGGGCTAGGAGAAGATGATACTCCCTGCGGATTGATGATCGAACGAAGAGGCAAAGGGATCATTGGGACGCTCTATCTCCATCAGTCCTTGTATTTGTGGTGGAGGCCACAGAAAAGAGCAGATCCATAGATTAAAGAGCAGGACATCCTCGTCAGTTACTCTAGCGCAGAAGATGAAGAGGGGGAGTACTAATTGAGGACACGACCAGACCGTATTGCTTCGACTGGTGCAGGTCAGTCGTTCGGGAGGGGAAAAAATTAGTCTTTTTCCACCGTGGCGGTAGGTAAGGCCAAAGAATCAGACTGATTGGCTGGTGCTTGCAAATTGAAGGCTTACGTGGCATCAATGCTGATGTGGGTAGTGTGCATGTTGAAAGAATTGTTATTAGTGGGGATCAACTTTTTAAGAATGTATGATTAGTTAAAGACAATATATTTATCTTTTAGATGTTCATATTAGTGTAACAAGCTTGCTTGATAACTTTCATACGAAACTGGACAACAATGCGTTGTTGGTCAAAAATTATTAAGTTTAACATTTAGGGTTTAATTTGCTTTTAATTTTTGCACATGTCAAAATGCTAAAGCTTTAATTCCACCTAAATTTTTGCATGTAACAGTTGAATGTGACCATGTGCACATCTAATTTTTATGGATAATTTTGACATTTTAAAAAACAAAGCATTTTGGCGCCCATAGGAACGAATGGATTTCTGATGTTTTATCTTTTCAAGTTTTGCGGGAATCTGAATGTTCTATCTTATTTGTGTTATATTTTTCTTATTTACACCGCTCATGTGTCAGCAGCCCGATCATAGACACCGAAGATGAAGCTGTTCAAGAAGACGCGCGGGAAGGGAGTAACTCGAGTACTGGGCCGGCAGGCGGCCCATCCGCAGCAGAAGGGTTCCCCAGTGGCTTGCAAGCCCAAACTGGGCCCGCTAAGCGGGTGTAACGGTAGTGAGCGTTTAAATACTGCCGACCGTCATCAGTAGAGGGTAGGAAGGAACGGGAGGCTTCGGCCTGGCAGAGGCGTTGCGTGTGTGATTGTAATTCGAACTGCTGTGTGGGAGGTTGGGAGGACAGCTAATCCAATTCAAACCTAGATCTCGTTCATGGAGGTAGTAGATTCCTCACATCTGGTACTCAGAGCTTTTTGATCCTGGAGATTCCAAGCCACGTCCACGCCACGCGTTTCAAGCTCCAGCAGCGGAGCCCCTCCATGGAGAAGCTATCATCCGAGGGGCGGCAGATCCAGGAGCTGCTGCGTGCAGACTTCGCCGAGGTGCTGGATCAACGCTTCAAGGCGCACGGCGAGGAGATCATCAAGTCCGTCGGCAATATGCTCAAGGAGACGACGACGATGCTCGACGGCCTCATCATGGCGCGAATCGACGGCGCCAGGTCCGAATTCAACCTCGACGTCGAGCAAATCCACGCGGATCTCGAGCGCTGCAGCAAGGAGGACATCCCGTGCAAGCAGGCGAGCTCATCGACCGGCAAGGAAGTTGGGGGCAACCGCGATTCGACAGCGGCTGATCCCCTTGGCTTCGACAAGTTTC